CCCAGCCCGCCCGCGGGCGTGTGGACGGGGGGGGGGGGGGGCTAAGGTGGAGGCAGGCAGTGGGAGTTCCGTTCCTTCTCCAAGCGTGACAGTCCCTCATGGTCTCTCCATTCTCCTTTAGAGGGAGAGTCCAGAAACCGCCGATCCCAGTCATGGCCCTGATTCATAGCGTTGCCATTTTGCTACCAGGGAAGTCAGAGCCTTTCAGGTGGGAAGGACCATAAATACAAGCATCTGTCTGCCTGTTCCCCATCCTGTTCCTCGTGCTGGGCTCATACGCTCCTCGTGGATGAGCCAAGACGGGCAGGTGATGGGCCAGAGAGTGTCACATGTCTCAGCAGCAAGGTTTGCAATGAGAAACAAGCCCTGTCCTTCCCTTCCAGGCTGAGGCTGGTTCCCCCTGCTCACTGTCACTCGACATCTCTCTCCAGTTCCTCCTTAGCAAAAGTTTTCCCTCCTGTAACTTTTCTCTTGGCCCCTGAAAGCCCCTGGCCAGTGCCGGTTCCCTGGGTACCACTGTGCCCATCCTTCGCCAGGGGCTCCCTCTTCCTCCCTCCACTGAAACAAGCCCCTCAGCCTCATCTCCCATCCTCGCTTCTTATTGGACGCTGGCATTTTGGGAGGCTGAGAGCTGGCCAGCTGGGGCTGGGTGGAGGGAAGGCTCAAATGGACAATGAATGGGGCAGGTGAGGGCTGGGGTAAAGCAGGACTGAAAGAGGCAAGAAATGGAGGAAGGCACCGGCCCTCTGGCTCCTGTGGCTCTCAGACAGGGCAGGTGGGGACCAAGCACCATGCACAGGGGTCATCACTGCTGGGATGCTCAGAGCAGCCTTGGCCTTTTGCAGACAGCTGTGATGAGACTGGCTTTTCTCTCACCAAGGAGGTGGGGAGAAACCCACCCTAAACCAACCTATGGCCCTCAGCTTCCCCCAGGAGCTCAGGGTAGAAGGACAGATGTGGATCATGGGCCCTTTCATGCAGGGATCAGGAGAAGCACAACATTGAGAGAAGAGTTTGCAAGTATTGCTGTCCACGGCTGTGACCTGGGGTGCAGAGACATATGGAGGGGCTGGATGAGTGGCTCTAGGCTCAGCCATACGATCCATGCATGTGTGTGCTCCCCTGTATGCTTCACTGGATACACACTCACGTCACCTGTTTCTCTGCTCCCACTCTCTGCCAGGGTTTTCTAGCCATGGCACCCAAGTTAACCTCCCCTTAACTTGCCCCAGCTTGGAGGCTCTCTTGGGACACAGGCTGGCAGATGGGGTGTCTGGCCAGAGGGAAAGCCAGCCAGGAAGCCCCCACTGTACGGTCCCATGGTGTAGCCAGGTCGCCTCTGCCAAGGGTGGTTGGGGGGAGCCATGTCTCTGCTTGGCTGGACTGACAATAAAGGCAGACAAGGGACTGCCTTCCCGCAGATGTTTTCTTGGGGGAGAAACTTACTTGTGCCAAATGGGTGAGGGAGGACCAGCCATCTCGATTCCCCAGCTGGGAGAGCACATGGGGAGGGCTGAATCTGGGGCACTTCTAGGAAAGGGGAGCCTTTGGGCTCAGCCTTGGCCAGGTGTGTAGCTTGGGAGTGGGCCCCATTTCCAGGGGACCAGTCCGTTGCAATCGTGTGGGATGTTTGGGGAGAGGGCTCCTCAGAATTGAGAGCTGTTGAGGTGTGCAGGCTCCCCAGCAGGTCATGAGCCAGGGGTCTGGCCACCAGCACAGACTGGCTGCCCTCTGTCCTCCAGAGCTCAGTAGGGCGAACTCTTGGATGGTTGGAGGGCAGTAAGCCAGAGGCAAGCCTACTGGCTTAGCCCTGCACCCAGGGCTTGGGAGCTCTGCTCTGTTGCAGCTGCTTTGTCTGTGTGCGGAGCCTGCTCCGGGTGGGGTGGGGTGACGGGCTCCGCTCAGCCCAAGCATTGCCTGCAGCCCCCAGTGCCATGGCAAGGTTGCAGCACCCCAAATTCCTGTGCAAGTTCCAGCCTGTGCTAACACTGGCTTGTGTGGAGCTGGGGGTCCTGGTGCTGCACATGCCAGCCTGTTGTGGGCAGCCAGATGTCCTGGCAGGCTGAGGGGCACCTCTCCTGCTCCAAGAGACAGCGCCACAGAGGAGAGGCCTGGATTCCCTTCCCCAACTACAGGGTTTTCTTTCTGATGTGAAGAGCCCTTTGCAGACCTAGGCTCCCTGGGCCTCACTCAGGCTGGTGTGTTGAGGCAGGAGTGTCCTGACAGTTTTAGGTGGTGTTTGGCAGCAATTCATCAATGGTGAGATGACTGCATTTACATAAAAATAGCTTTTTATAATCTTTTTAACACTGAAGCATTTGACTTGTGAGTTTATTTGGCACAGTTCAAGATCTCTGTAAATAGAGAGATTTTTCCTTATTACTTTTGTTCCAGTATTGGCATCCATGCTGCCTGCCCCTGTTGCTTGTTTTCAATTTCGCTGCTCCTCTGCAATCTAAGTAGTTTGGATGATTAACAACTTGAGGGTTAATTATATTTTCTCACTTCCTACATGGGATTATTACATGTTCATTGGTTTTACACAGTTTAGCTACCATTCATCTAACTGGGTCCCATTTCCCACCAAGTATATGATTCACCTTGCTAAAGGTGAAACAGTGCAAATTGCTAGAAAAGGAATAATATATTGGGCTCAGCTGAGCATTCACATTTCATCTGTGGGATCATAATATCTGCAGAGCCTGCTGTAAATTATAAGAGGAGAAAATATTCCCTCTTGTGTCTCTTGATTAAGTCATTTGGAAAAAAAATAATGTATTTAAATTCAGGCAACCCCTTTTCTGGTTAGATACAAGTAAATGTACACAGAGCATTTACCCAGCTTTATTTTTTTTTTTTGGCTTCACAGATGGAGGCTGACTAAAAGTCACTTCACCAGGCAACCACAAGGCCTGCCTAGAGAGTTCTTTCTTTGGCAAAATCAGCCATTGGGTTTGAAAGGAACATGGCCTGGGTCTGGTGGATCAGAGCCTAAATGTGTGATTTAAAATGGCCGTTTTCCAAACCCAGGGCCTGATTCAGATGCCTCTTCAGCCAGGAGGGACCTTCCTTGCAGTTAGTGGTATTGTAGCAGTGCGAAATTGCAATCAGAACAGAACAAAGCCTCGATTTCCTCCACCCTTGCGATTCCAGCAGTGTATGATAAAAAATAACTTGAGATTTATCAGAATCTTGGAGGAGTGATGCCAAGTACATGAAAATATTGTGGCTAAACAGGATTGCTGTGGAGAAACATCTGCCAAGCATCACAAAACTGTTCTCTTCCCCCTCCCCCCCCCCCCCCATGGGGCGTGTCTTGCTCACCAAGGGGTCAGGCCTTGTGACATCTCCAGGCAGCTGCGGGTCAGCCATGGCTGTGTCAGCAAAATACTTGGCAGGTAAGGGGACAACAACAAATCATTCTGTGTTTGTAAAGAAAATAAATAATGCCTGTCCCTTAATGAAAGGCTATAAAACAAGGGACAAATCAAATGGAAAATGAAAGAATTCTTAGGAAATCAATCTAGCCATGACACGGGGTTCCTTGCCATTGATTTTCTGATGATTTTATATGTCTGACATGGGAACAATTGGAACTAGTTATGTGTTTATTTTGCCCCCTTCACAGTATCTCACATGTGATTCTGAAGAAGCAAAGTGCAAAATGTCACATGTGGTGTATTTGGTATATATGTGGTATATTTCCTGCACCTGTTTGTCCTGAACAAATAGACAAATCTGTGAGTCATCTGCAGTAAATTGTAAAACACAGAAGTTAAGAATCATTCAGTGAAAGCTATCCCTTTTGTTTTCTAAACATCTACTTTTAGCATATAATGTTATTATATATCACATGAGCATTGTTGCCATGTTCATTTACATGGGCTATTTTGAAATTTGTCCCACTGCTTCATTTGAGGTTTTGCTTTATTCTTGCAATGGAATATGTTCTTAATTAAAACACAGAATACCATGAGTAATAATTAATTCTCTTAATTTTGGTACTTCAAAAGTAGCCATCTGTTCAGATTGGAGATGCTCAAAGCAGTATAACAACAGCAAATTAAATCCAAGGCTTCTGTCATTTCATAATTTATTTTTAATTTGATTAAAATTAATGACAACAAAAATCTGTCTTTGCTTTTTCATATCTTGTGGACAAATCTGAATGTCATTTGTGCAAATTACTGTTTTAAAATGCTCTTCAACTGTTGGTATCTTTTGCATTCTGAGATGCTTGCGCATGTCACATTAAGGAAAATATTTTTTAAATTGCAATCTTTTTTCTCTATAGTTTGGAAAAGTTCCTGAAATATTTACTGAGCTTTGAATGTTCAGTTTACTGTTTTGCATTTTGCTGTTGTTATTTTTATTGGTACCATCCTCTTCCTATTTTTAATGGATCTATTTTATTGGTCATAGCATAGTTATAAAGACTACAAATGCTGTTAATCCCAGGAAGATTCCATGCATGCTGATATACACGTTTTCTTTAACAGTCTCTCAGTGGCAAATTAAGTGTTCAAAGAGACTTATTTGGCAAAATCATGGGCCTTTTCATCTTGGTGTTCTTTTCCTCTCAGTGCACAAAGCCTATTGTCTGTAGTCATCTAAACCGGCAAAGCCTTCTCTGCAGTCCTAGCCAGTATGCTTTTAGAAAGCCACATGAGCCAGTGTTCAGGTGCACTGAGTATCTCTGTTTTTTTCTCACATGCCTTGGTTGTACAGAGATGCAGTCCATCTGGAAGTTGGGAGCATTCCTCCAGATTTTACACCACCATAGGTTAAAAGACGCTGATGTCTTTACTCTTTCTGAGAGAGAGAGACTTTTCATGTGTTATTTAAGACCCGCCTGCTCATCACAGGCTATTTCTTTCTGTTTGATCTTTGTATCTGCTCTGAATACAGGCCTCTAATCCCCAATGTGAATGGTAATAGTTCTGTTTGTGACACTCTCCACTCCAATAGACTTACCAACAATTCCTATTGGGACCAGTGTAAAGCTAATAAGCAAGCAACTCATTTACCTACCAGTGAAACATCCAGCAGTTTTGCTGTTGCCAGTTTGCATAAATTTGCCACTAGATATATTTGGGCTATGGAGCTGAGTGAAGGTCTGGAGCTTTGTCATTTGTCAACAGTAAATTGGAATTTCATAGCTCATTATTTTCATAACTAATAATTACAGTGGGTAAAATGTCACTGTAATTAGTCATGTATGTGTGTAAAAACAGAGATCTTGGCAAAAAAACACTGGAATTTTGAGATTGAAATTTTTGAACCCATTGATTTTTAGTAAAGCCTTAAAAAACAATCCAAACCACGACCCATTGCAAGTAGTACATGCCAGCCTGGGGGTAGGGAACTGGCTCACAAGGCAATAGCACGGGGGTGCTCAGTTTTCACCCACATTGCCAATTTGTTGGGAGCTCAAGGCCTGTATCTAATTTGCATAAAATGAAGAAGATTGTAGCTGGTCTCATCTTTAATATGGGCCAGAACCCTCAGAGAGTGTTGCATTCTGGAGCCTGTAGTCCCTTTGGGCTGCACCCCAAGTTAATGGTGAGGGCAGACAGGAAAGGGGGCTGCTGCAGGATTCATTTGGCATGAACTGTCCCACACATTGCACTTGGGTTCTCCTGGCTTCCCAGGGAAAGGGGGCTGGACCTGGCCCTGCACCCCCCCAATCAATACAAATATTTCCATGGACATTACTCTGGTTAGCGGTTAGAGAATTTGGGAGAAAAGCTCTTGCTGTTCAGAATGCACAAAGGGCTTTCACTCATCAGATGTGCTGATGTTTCGTTAGGCCAACGATGCTAAGACATTTCTGAAAACTGATGCTTAGGCTCCTTGGACAGCTAGTCTTTGCCACACCAGGAAAAATAACCCCTCTTTATCTTTTGAAGCTTAGTCCTTTGCCTACACCACATATCTGCCCTTGGCAGAGCATCTGTGAGAACACAGGGTCTTGTTTGTCCAGTCAGTGCTTTCCAAGCCTGTTTATTAGTGGTAGATTTTTCCATTAGCTGGATTGTCCTGTGCTGATAGGGAGGTGAGCTGAGGGGCAACATGCCAAGATAGAGAGAGGCAGTAGAGGACAAAAACACACAAGAATATTTTTAAAATCTGTGCTTTTTGACTAGAGCAATGAAAATTATGACTGGCTGTTTGGATGACATTCTTGCACATCCTTCCTCATGGGAGAGATGCCACCAGTGAAGGTTATAAGACCAGGGATGTAGGCCTTGCAGTGCAGACTTGACATCATTTTATTATGTTCTCAGGAAACTGGTAGTATTGGGGAGAGCAAATTTTTACCCCCTGCCCTAAAGCTCATTGCTAGGTTTAGGGAGACCAGAAGAGTTAATCCATCGCTGACGCTTGTCACTTTCCATTACTAATGTTGCTTAAATGGCTTCATGGAAACAAGTAGACCTGATCATTTGCTTCTGAAAACAGCTACAAACATCACAGTGTCAATCCCTTTAAAGGGATTTTAGGCCCTGCACACAGAGCACTCAGGATGATTAAAATCCTGCAATCTGACAGAAATTTGAAGAACACAGTTGCATTTGCTAGCAAGACAGTCTTCGGCTCCACAATGTTTTTGTGTTCTGCTCACACTGGTAAGATTTTGTGTGCACGTGCATATAATATAGATGTCAAGTAGTTGCAGAGAAAATATATTAACAGACTTATGTTTTTATCTGTGAGTCTTTTCTAAAAGTAATCACAGTAGCATAGTCACACAGTAGTCACTGGATATGTTTAAGCCAGTAAAGAGAATATAGCTGGCAGAATCTTTCTGAAATGGCCATGAAGTCCATGTGTTCTACATGGAGAATACTTCCTAGATCAGGGCAGTTGGGGAGGAAGGTACTTGCCTTCCTGCAGGTAGGTGCAGAGGTTTTTTTTCATCTGGTCTTATGAAATTCACGAGATACAAAAAAATGCCCAGCATCATTGAGCAAAGATGACTAGATGAATGTCCTTGTGTGTCATGCTTTCTGAAAGCACAGCACAGAGGAATGTGATTTCTTTCTTGGTTTTCTTTCCAGTCCTCAGTGGGCAAGGTGACTTCTGTTTTTAGCAACATTTTCAAGCTTTTGTTTATTAAAAAAGGAAAACTTGTTGGGCTGGGGATCTCAGCTGAAAGTATCATTGCAGTTCCACTGAAGGCAGTCGCACTGGCCTGATTTACACCAGCAAAAATCTGGCAGAGTATCTTTTATTCTATTCAGTTTAGGGATCCAACCCTACCACTGGTACAACAGCAATAGATTATTTGTAGGAGTAAGGATTGCACATATGAGAAAGGGTCAAGGGGCTGCCCAAATAACCTTCCCCCCTCCAAAACCTAAGCAGTTGAACCTATATCTCACATCAAAATAAATACACCAATGTATTATTTTCTTATATTACATTTTTAAATGTACTCTGCAAATACCTTTCACACTGTTACCATATGGCCACTGCCTCTGATTAATAAGACCCACTTTCAGTTAATTTTGGATCCCAGCATACCCTTTAATCTTGCATTGTTTTTATTGTCTTGCTATTATGGAAAAAAAATATTTTCTATCCCGAGTCCCAATTCCAACTGCTAGAAGTCAATCTGTTAGGTGATAAAGCTCTATACAGCCAGAAAACATGCATGTGGAAGCAAAGATGCATCTTGGGATTTGCCAGTGATTAGTTACCTTGAAATAGTGTTTTCTACACATATCAAAGTATGTTCTCTGTCCATTTGTGATAACTAAAGCTTTCTTTTGGATGTTATCACAGGTACTATGAAACTGGGAGTATTAAGCCTGGAGTGATTGGAGGATCAAAACCAAAGGTCGCCACACCCGAAGTCGTTGAAAAAATTGCAGAGTATAAACGCCAAAACCCTACCATGTTTGCATGGGAAATCAGGGATAGACTTCTAGCTGAGGGGGTGTGTGACAATGACACCGTGCCCAGCGTCAGTTCAATTAACAGGTAAAATTTGTACAGCCCTGGGAAGGGACTTCCCTAGCAAGTGTTGGCACTGAATCCTCATTTGTTAATGGAATTGGATGTTTTGGATCATTTGCAAGAAAGTTTACATGTGTTTCCAGAACATGTCTGGGGCTTGGGAGCAGCCAAGAGCTCAGCACAACAGTGAAAACATCACACATTACAAGCACTTGCTAGCAGCTGACAGGTTTTACCATGTACCTTCACTTCTGTCCTATTCCCATCCCCTGCAGAACAGAACTTCTGATTTTTGCTGGTAAAGGTAAATAAATTAAATGAGGTCTCAGTGCTGTTGGACTGGGTAGGGATTCCACAAGAAAGTACTTTCTCTAATGAGAGAGGTGAGACTGCAAGTGATCAGGGCTAGTGAGGCTCTAGAAAGATAAGCTAGAGTCCAGGTTTGGTGGTAGTCATCAGAACAAAAGCCTCAGGGTAACACTTTTGGCTTCCTGGTACCAACTCAATAATATTAAAGATGGATGAGTCATTAGGAACTTAGCTGCATCAGGGAGCAGCAAAGACAGGGCTGCTCCATGAGGGAAGACAAGCTGGGAGTTGAGGGCAACACAGCACAGGCAGAGGCAGTGCTCTTTACCAACCAGGACACAGCCCCACAGTACCTGAGCAGGGCCAGGTTGGTGACAGATTCCATCAACAGTCCCAGATGAGGTAATAAACCACAGTCCATCTAGGGAGTCAAGTCAGGAACAGCTAGAGACAAGCTGCCTACAAGATAGAGTCAAGGTCCATCCAGGAAGACCAGTCAGTAAACCTGAAGAACAGACACCAAAACTGGTCACAAACACACCTACAACATAGATCAGAACAGACCAGTAGGGCCCTCACCTGAGTTTAAATGGGGCTCCTGGGCCCATGGGCAGAGGGTGTGGGTGGAGGCCCCAGGTGAGGCTGGTCAGGGCCATTATGGACTATTGGTACACTCAGGGCCCTGACAGGTTGGTAGCTTTCAAATGCTTCAGTCATCTGCTTGTTAAATGGATATACTTAAATGGCCTTGAACTGCTTTTGTAAAGAGGCACAAGAATCTCATTTGGAGATTCAACACTGCATTAATGAGTTTTGCACTGACTTTTCTAGACAGGTCTGGGCTCACATAGAAGTCTGAAGTCATATTAGTGTCTTTTAATGTTCCATCCAGCTTAATACTTCCATCTTAATGAAACAATGTAAGAAAACCATAATCACTCCCTTAATGGCATGTGTGCAAGTTCACATTACAGGCCAAGTGATGTCCAATGACAGTGTTGAAAACCAGACAGTGAAATATTCTGTTATATCTCCAGCCCTCCAAAACTGATAATAAGTGTTTGATACTAGATAGGCAGAACTCTCAGTCTTATGTATGCCATCTGACAAGTGGTGTCTTCATTTTCTCTCAGGAATATTCTCTATACCAGGCTTTGCACAGTCTGGTGAGGTGGTTTTCACTTGTGCAATTTCATCCAAATTCTTTGAATGCAGCTAATTATAAAGTCCCATCTGTGTCTGTGGACATTAAATAAATTGATGTAATATTATTTTTTGGCTATCCCAACCTGGTTTGCATTCGTGGAATTACCACTTAAATAGCAGGAGTGCCTTCAACAATGTTAGATAAGAATGGTGGCGCTACCTTGCTAAACCAAATGGTGAGTCACACGTTCACATGGATAAATGAAAAGATGGGTCAGGCCACTCACAGCTTTTAGCATCGCCAGCAAGTTCCTAACTAGCTTGGAATCCAAGGCAGTCTTCAGTAACCCTGCAGACATTGTGATTTATGGTTAAAAAAGGATTTGTTTGAGATACAATATGGAAACCAGGAACATCAAAAGAAAATCTCACTACAACTGTCCTCAGATAACCAAGGCCCAACTGTGCCCCCATCAAAGTCAACACAAGTCCTGTCTTATGAGGAGCATTGCTGTTGTTATGAGTAGTGCTGTGTTCATTAGTAGGGCTTCAAGTGTTGTCTAAGCACCCACCAAAAAGGCAGTCACAGCTCTAAGGAATTGAGACTAAATATATCCCACTCATATTTTTATCCATTTTTCACATTTTACTTTTCCCTGTCCCTGAATGTTTCCACACTGATAACATGCCACAGACTCATTGCCATTGCATCATGAATCTGCTCCATGATCTGTAACCAAGTTCTTTGGCTGGAAAGTTCATTCTTTCTCATCTGTCTGTGGCTAAGATCTTTCCTTTTCTTAAAAGTGTGAAACCCCTTTTGAAATGTGCATGTTTTTTTTGAGTCAGTTTGTTTACCCAGAGAATTGTTTTCACCAGCCTATGACCACCTCCTTCATTTTAGGACTTCTAGCCACACATTAAAAAAAAAGAAAACAAACCAAAAAAATCTAGTATGTCAACAAACCTGGAAGTCACATCAAAGCACCAGGCTTTAATTCTAAATCTATCCCTATTCCGTAGTGTACTCTGCAGTATTTATGCCTATACTTAAAATTAAGCATATGTTTCAAAGCTTTGCTGGTAGGGATGTAACATGTTGAACCTGTGCACCCATATTCTCATGAGGGAGGTCCCCTTTTATCAGTGAGACTTTTGGAGGCATTAATGACTGGTAGGATTAGAAGCAGATTGGCCAATGGCAGGAGAGTGGACTCTGTCAGGGGAGAGGAGAACTGAAATTTCACATGTAACAAATTACCTGGCAGTCCAAGGCCTAGCTCTGGAGGACAGAGGACAGGATGATGCATATGCACAGAGATGGTTGTATATTTCCTCACACTTCCAGGGGTGGGGGGAGCTAACAGTTCCATGAAGAGTTTATTTTTCCTTTAGTCCTCAGTGAAGACTACTTGAGAAACAAAGCACAGGAGCCAGCAGGGTTAACAGAACACCTTAGCCCAGGACTGGGGTAGTGTGGCATGAAGCAGACAGAATGTGCTTTCACGGGCATTATATTCATATAAATATAAACATACACATAAAACAGCACCATTGGATAGCATTTTCCAAAGGACTTTTCCAAGGCATCTAAGATGTATTTTAAGTGGTTTTCACACTTATGGCAGACTTGGAAAGCTTCCATGGTAAGTAATAAGCAGAGGTGTCCAGCTTGGTTCTCAGTCAGATCCTGAAAGGTACTGAGTACCACCTCCTGTTCTCTATGACAGAGCCTTGCAGGCATTTTTGAAAATCCTGCTCAGTGCCCATTGGGATCTTTGTGCCCACTTGGATGCTTTGAACGGTCAGCTCCCTAGGAGCCTAAATCTCATTAACTTAGTTCAGCAACACTTGACCCCTGCTTGCTGAGGTCCCTTTTGCCAATGTGATGTGTCCTTATTCAGCACTGAGATGCAGTTCAGATGTTGCCTTCTAGTCATGGATTTGAACCTGCATCAGAAGTCATTCAATGGGATTCTTCCTCTTGGCTGAGGGGAGATAATGCCAAGTAGCTAGTGTCACTGCATAGCCGGCCTGTGGTACAAAGGGTGGGGAGGGCAGAACCACAGCACCCTCCTCCCATCTCTACCTCTACTGTGCGGAGCAGGGAGATTCCCCAGAGCCTTGCTATTGCCATCAAGAGGAGAATTGTCATTACTGTCAGAGAACTGAGGAGTCAGGGCAGCTTGCTGTAAAGCCACTATGACAGACACACTATGACAGACGTGGCACATCCCCATTAAGGAGTTTACATTTTAGCAGCTGAATTTGGGCTGCTGTCCCCATATATGAATGAATAATTACTATTACTATGAATACCATCAATATTAATAATAGACTACTCTTCCACAGTAAGAGCAATTGCATGTGATTAAGTCTTAATCAATCATTGAGATTAGCTTTACTCAAATAAGTTGAGAGCTGCTCAGCTGTTTCAAGTGCTCCTGTTCTCTGTCACTCCAGAGATGAATATATTTACATGTCAGAAGGCCCTCTCTCATACTAAAGTTCCTTCCACAACTCTGTCTGACACCAGTACTGCAGGACTAGGCTGCTGCTCCACTGCTCTTGCCCCTTGTAGGGGAAAAAGAAGCTAAGGACCAAGTCACTAAGGAAATTAAGGCAGTTTCACTTTGGTGCTGACAGCCAAATATTGACTACCTACAGACCTGGCCCCTTTCACACCCCCAAGCAGACTGCATAGCAGGATGGGAAGGGGGTGGGCAGATAGGAAGATTTTTCAGCTCTTGCCACTGCCCAGTTGTGAAACCACTTTCTCCACCTGGAGAGCAGTCATTAAGGCACTTCCTTTGTAAAGTGTTTGGAGATGGCCCAGGGAAAAGATTGCTGCAGGACCAAAGGATGAGGGAGAGCATTATTTTGCTTGCTGGTGACATTTTTGTAGTAAAAATTACAATAATAAAAAAGAAAATCCAACAAGAGCAGATTAGAAAATCATGAGAAAGCAGATTGTAGGAAAAAAAAAGAGGCTTGTTCAGCCTGGGACTCATTTTGAAGTTTTATTCTTTGGATTGGCTGCCCATAGAAACGCAGACTCAAAATGTAACTTTCAAGCAAGTAGCATTTTTTTGTGAATGCACTCATATGCCAGATCTTTCCTCCCCTCTTCTCTCCTCCCCTCTTCTCTCCTCCCCTCCCCCTCTCCCAGAAAGTGGGAAACGTGCTTGTTAGATAAACACAGGATAAATTCTTACTGCAGCATTGCTACTGCAAAAACAGTGCATAAAACAGACACATGAGATTTGAGTAAAGAGCATGCTTCATTCAAGGCATAAGCCGATCTTGCTTCCACCACACTCTGTGCCACAACTTCTATTTACATCTCTGGGAGAAATTTCAGACCTTATCTTTTCTCTGCTAACAGTACTTTGGCATTGGAACTTTTGATATAATACCTCTGTTGCTATATTCAACAACTTCCTTTTCCCTGTAACACAACACACACACCTTCTCTTTTATTTATCTGCATCTTTCTGATGACTGCATGTCTGAAACAGAGTCTGTTTAGTGGTAACTTTGGAGAAAATCAGGAGAGACTTCTCTGGAGCTTCATGAGCTTTTCCCTGATTTTCATCTTTATAAATCAGAGCAGAGGCTGTCTACTAGTCCCTGGTAATGCCAGTGTATTTATTCAGCTTTTGTGACTAGCATGTAATACAAAATAGTTTTGTTTTAATATTCATTTGATTAAGCAAAACCTTTTCAGAGGTATCCAAGTTCTTTAGATGTCTGAGTACCACACCCAGGGGTGATTTAGGGACAGATTTGCAAAGGTTTTCAAGCACCTAAAGATGCAGAAAATTGCCTAGTGGGATATCCGGACTCACAGGTGTCCAACTCCCTTTGAGAATTGTGTGTAGGGCATATCAGGTGCCCAAAGAGCTGTAAATATGTAATTCCTGGGCAATTAGGTCTAGCTCCTCAAGGGGTCTGAGGCACCAAATTCCCAGTAGAATCTCACAGAACCTGTAGGAGTTAGGTACCAAAATGCCATTAAGGATATGGGCCAGAGGCAAACATACCCCTGGGTCTTCCTGCCTAGCTGTTAATTTTTCAGTTGGTAATGAGGGAATAATACAAGAAAAAACATTTTTTGTATTGATTTAGGTATCCTGAACTAAAAAAAATAGCTTCTGATGTCCCCCCTGCACCTTCATGCTTAAGTAGCCATTTATTTCTTTTCAACTACATTCAGGATCATACGGACCAAGGTACAGCAACCACCCAACCAGCAAGTCCCAGCCTCTAGTCACAGCATAGGTAAGGAAAACTTTTTAAAAAAATTAAAAAACATAATATAAATGACTACAAATATTCTAAAGAAATTTTAATCATTGTTATGGACAGATATGTCCACATAAAACACTTCAGCACATGTACTAATGCGCCTTCTTTGTCATTCTCCAAAGGCTGAATGAATGAATTTTAAAATGAATTTTATAAATATTGTTAAAAGGTTTTGAATTTTAATTATTATGATAAATAGCTTTTACCATGAGACAGAAAATTGAAATCTAAATCAACCCCCTCCCCCACACTAATGGAAGTCTATAGAATGTCAGATAATTAAAGTAACAAATCAAGAAAGGGATACTTATTCATAACATTTTCTGCATCATTAGTCAGTAAGTTGTTTTTAATGTGTTTTTTTCATCTAGCAACCATCCCTTTCATAATTCATACTACAGCCCAGCATCCTGGGTCTTTCTTTCAAGGAAATGCCAATAATAGCTTCAGAAGGGAGGAGAGGCAGAAATCAACAGCTAATTTGCTATGATAGCTTAAGTGCTGACACCACTTCCATTGAGAAAAACAAGAGCAGGAAAAAAAAGTCTTGCTTCTAAGGATTTGGATTTGATTTACCCAGCAGTAAATCATGACACCACTTATCTCTGTGTAGAATGAAAGTCACCTGTCATAGGGGAATTTAGGGTGGGGTAACCACAAGAACAGAACCACTGCACTCAGTGACATAAAATTCAAGATTTATTTAGTAAGAAGGATGGTATAGCAGGTAGGTAGCAGTTTCTATTCTAGAGTTTCTAAGATTTCTATTCTACATTCCCACCAATCAAGGCCCCAGCCCCTCTGGTCCAGTTTAGCCTGGCACCACGGACCCAGGGGAACAGAACACTCTGACTGCTTGATGAGTCCTGACTGGTGGCCCCTACGCATAGCAGTTCCACAATGGGCTCAGACTTCTACACAGTGTGGTGTCAGATATCTGTGTATGGAATTCCCCCCCTCCTCCAGTCTATTGTCTTCACTATTTATTCTTTTTTAAAAAATAGATTGTCAACAAAAGCTGCCAATGGCCTCACTAGTCACATAGCCCCAGGCCAATCTGACTTTCCCCAATATCTAAGGCATCAGTTAGCTGGGTTACTATCACCTTCTGCCCCCTCCCCCGCCAAATGTGTTACAAGACTATACAATTGTTAGCAGTTACATCATCTATGCTGCTTTGTTTCTTTCCCCACACAAACCGGAGTAATCTAAACAGGGCTGGGCAAATGTTCTAGAGCACAGCTAACAGAAGCATTCAACAAATGTAGCAGTTCACACAGCAGGGCACACAGAAGAGAGCCAGAAATGCTGCTGAGGGTTCATGTGCTCAGTAATGGTGGTGACGCACCACAGGGCATGATTCCCAGCACCCCATGGAGCAACTATCCCTGACACATCAGAGGCCTCAACTCAGATCCAGAGGGAGGATGCAGCTCTCCAGGACTCAGGCTGCAATCAATGCCTGCTGCCTCTCATTGAGGCAGAGGGAAATGGTGTCCTTCTTGCCTGCAGGAGGTGTGCCCTGGTTGAGGAGCTGTGTCACCAAGTTAAGGAGCTCTGGGAGGGAGGTCAGCAGACTATGCAACATCAGGGGTGACAAAAAAAAAAAAAAAAGAAATTGATGAGATCTTCTGAAACCCTCCAGAAACAGGAGCCTGAACCCCCAACTGTACAGAAGGAAGAGCAGACAGTCTGTGCTCATCAGGGTGGCAAACAGAGATTCTCATAATGATAAAGGCTGGAAGCTTGTGAGCTATGGCATCAAGAGGATGGCACCTTCTCCACCTGCAGATCTGCATCTATAGAATAGGTTCAGTGCCCTGACAGCAGATGATGGGCTGGAGACTGTCTGAGGGGAAAACTGTGGGGTCAAGGGTATGGGGGCCCAGATGATTTTCTTCTCAACCCTACTGAGAAAGGGGAAGGGCTTGAGGAGTGGACAGATCCTGCAGGTCAACATCTGGTTGTACAGCTGGTGTTGATGACAGGGATTCAGCTTTTACAACCACAGGACCCTTTTTGAGGATCAAGTACCGACAGGGAGAGACGGGATCCCCCTGACTAAGTGGGGCAAAAGCATCTTTGCCAACAGGCTGGCCAATCTGGTGGGGAGAACTTTAAACTAGGAATGACAGGGAAGGGAGATGATGACGATCCACAGTCAAGTGAGGAAGTAGTGGACCAGGCTGGAAAGCAAAGGATGCAGGGAAATTTGGACAAGAGAAATTTTGATAATGACAAAACAGGGCAGAAGGAGGCCCAGTTCAAACATATGCACGCAAATAAGGAAGTGCCAAGAGGCATTATGAGGGAAGCGCTCACTCTTTTCCTGGGAAATCAGTATGACTAGGTACCTCTCTGAAGTGCCTGTACACTAATGCATATAGCATGGGGAACAACCAAGAGGAATTAGGGGTTTGTGTGCAGTTACAGGGCTACGATCTCATTGGGATCACAGAGATGTGATGAGATGGTTCACATGACTGTAGTGCTGTAGTGGATGGATACAGGCTCTTTAGGAAGGACAGGCCAGGAAGGTGAGGCGGGGGAGTTGCCTTTTATGTGAGAGAGCAGCTGAAATGCATGGAGGAATGCCTTGGGACAAATGAGCCAGTTGAGAGTTTGAGTTAAAATTAGAGGGCAAACATGGGCAACATTGTTGTGGGTGTCTGCTACAGACCACCTGATCAGAAAGAAAAAGTAGATGAGGCCTTCTTCAGGCAACTGGAAGAAGCCTCATGTTTGCAGGCCCTGGTCCTCCTGGGGGACTTGAACCACCCTGATATCTGCTGGAGGAACAATACAGCAGGACACAAGCAATCCAATAAGTTTCTGGAGTGCAGTGATAACAACTTCTTAACACAGGTGATTGAGGAGCCAACAAGGGGAGATACTCTGCTGGTCCTGATACTTTCAAACAAGGAAGAACTGGTTGGGGACATGAAGTTGGGGGGCAGCCTTGGCTGCAGCAACCACAAGATGGTGGAGTTCAGGATCCTGAGAGGAGGGAACAAGACAAATAGTAGGATCACAACCCTGGACTTCAGAAGAGCAGACTTTGGCCTGTTCAGAGACCTGCTTGGAAGAGCCTCATAGGAGATCATCTTGGAGAGAAGAGGGGTCTAGGATAGCTGGTTGATATTCAAGGATCACCTCCTCCAAGCTTAAGAATGACATGCAGGAAATCAAGCAAAGGTGGCAGGACACCTGCATGGATGAGCAAGGAGCTCCTGAATAAACTCAAACTAAAAGGAGGCATACCAGAGGTGGAAGCAGGGTCAAGTGGCCAGGGGGAACATAGAGACACTGTCCAAGCATGTAGGGATGGGGTTAGGAAAGCCAAAGTCCCTCTGGAGTTATTATTCATTAGCTGATTTGCACCTCTTCTGGCATTACCTTTGAACAACTTTTGTATTACTGGTTGGATTAAACTGGTTTCTTTGCAGTTCTTCAACTATGTACGAAAAACAGGAGCTGAGGCAAGGTCAGATAAGATGTTCTGCTTGCAGGGCATGTGACCTTGCATGGTTTGCCTGCAGAAAACTAGAGTACAGTGGAAATTTTCTTAACAAGTTGAATCTGGCAAGGGACATGAAGGGTAACAAGAAGAGCTTCTACAAGTACATCAGCAGCAAGAGACAGCTAGTAAAAATGGTGACCTGCTGCTGATGGTGCAGGGGACACAAAAAAGGCCAAGTGTCAGGGAATAGTAAAGGCCAGCTACTCCCTAAAGGACATGGAGCCAAGAACCAAGCACTATAAAGCCAGCAGGGCAGGGGCCTCACCAGCCAGGGTCCAGTCCCACAGTACCCAAGCAAGATGAACAGGGCAGGCTTGGGGATGGTAGCCAGGATCAATCAGGAGTTCAGGTCACCAGGCAAGCCCATGGTGATGGGGCAAGTCTGAGGTCAAGCCAGGAGTATAAGACAGGATCAGATCCAGTCACAGTAACCAGGGTCAGACAGTCTAATGATGAGGATCAAGCCAGGAAATCAGTCAGCAGATCAGAATCCAATACAATAGAGCACATATCCAGACATAGTTATAGCACAGCTAAAGACAGATAAATCTATAATATGCTCAAATGAGGAGTGGAAGGGCCAGGGCTGAGCTTAAATGGGGTTCCTAGGCCCATGGGCAGAGGGTATAGGTGGAGGCCCCAGGTGAGGCTGGTCAGGGCCATTAAGGCCTATCAGTGGACTCAGGGCCCTGATAGTAGCCTCCCCTCCCAACAAGATCTGTTCTCGCACCTTACAGAGATCTGAGTTCAGAAGGGACTTGCTGTAGAATGACCTAATTGCTGTGGGATGTTAGTGGGCTATTTCAGGGGACATAAAGCCCAAGCAGGGACAGGGAACTGGGAAAGAGACATAGCATGGGAGACTTGGGGCTGGATGGGGTTTCATAAGGAGCCCTGGAGGCCAGGCCAGCCAGGGAGGGAAGGGGCCCAGCCACCCCTGATGATCCCCAGAGGCCAAACAGCACTGGGAGGTTCACTCAGAAGCCTAGGGTTGAGTAAAGGGTCAGTACTGTGGGGAGATCAGAGCTGAGGGCAAGGCCAGTCCCTCAGGAGGGTTTGTAGGGGCAAGGCCCTGCATGGCCACAAGCAAGTTCCATGGTGCTCAGCTCAGGGCTCAAGAAGGCCTGAGTTAACTGTCAGGGAGCAGCAAGGGCTGGCTGCTCCCTAAGGGATAGGGAGCCAGGAGCCAAGGGGGATAACAGAGCCAGCAGGGCAGAGGCTTCACCAGCTAGGGCCCAGTCCCACAGTACCCAAGTGAGGTGAGCAGGGCAGGCCCAGAGATGGTGACAAGGCTCAACCAAGACTTCAGATCATCAGGCAAGTTTGTGGTGATGAGGTATGTCTGAGGTCAAGCCAGGAAGTCAATCCACAGGTCAGGTCCAATGATTGTCTGCCAGGACCATGGTGACAAGGTAGATCTGAGGTCAAGCTGGGAAGTCAGTCGATGGGTCAGGGCCTGGATCAATGGGGTCCATAGCAAGGCACAGGCATAGCTGAGCTGAAGACTAGTACTCCTCTGACATAGCTCAGACAGGGAGAAAAGGCCCAGGACTGAGCTGAAATGAGACTCCTGGTACCTTGGGCAGAGGGTGCATGAGTAGAGGCCCCAGGTGAGGCTGATCAGGGCAATTAAGGCTTATTAGTACTCTCAGGGCCCTGACAGTTGGCATAGATTCACAAAGGGGAACTGATGTCTGATCAACCTGATAGCTTTCTATGATTAAATGATTATCTTGGGGGATGAGGGGAGAGCAGTGGATGTTGTTTATCTTGACTCTAACGAGGATTTCAACCCTGCCTCCAATAACATCCTTCTAGAAAAACTGATGAAGTACAGACTAGATGAGTGGTCTGTGAGGTGGACTGAAAACTGGCTGAACTGCCAGGCTCAAAGGGTTGTGATCAGTGGCACGAAATCCAGCTGGAGACCAGTCACTGGTGGTGTACCCCAGAGGTTGATACTGGGGCCAATACTGCTTAACATCTTCTTTAATGACCTAGATGATAGGACAAAGTGCACACTCAGCAAGTTTGAAGATGCTACTGTCAGGCCTCACCTGGGGCCTCCACCCACACGCTCTGCCTATGGGCCCAGGAGCCCTATTTGAGCTCAGGCATGGGCCTTCAGTCCAAGTGGGCTGAGCTATGTTGCAAGAATACCAGTCTCCAGCTCAGCTACACCTGTGCCTGGCTATGGACCCTGCTGATCTGAGCCCTAACCTGCAGACTGACTTCCTGGCTTGACCTTGGACCTGTCTTGTCACTATGGACCTATCCAGCAATCACTGGACTGTGTCTGACCCTAGTTACCCTCACCAGACCTGACCCTGACCTGCAGATTGACTTCCTAGCTTGAACTCAGGCCTGCTTCATCACCACAACTTTCCCTGATGATCTGGACTCTTGGTTGAACCTGGCTACCAGGGGATTAGTTGCTGTAATACATCAACATGCCAGCCCATGTTCACCCTGTGGGTGGATGGAGATGTACTCTAGCACTCCCCCACTGTACCGTCTCATGTGCACTGTGTGTGCACAGGCTCACAGCTTCCTGGAATCATAGAATTTCCAAGATACCATGTAGGCACAGGGCCAGTACCCTACTCAAGAGCTCTGCCAAAGAAAAACAGCTGTAATACGCATTTTGGACAGTTTCAGGCCTTTCCAGCTGCATCTGCTGCACAACTAGCCTTGCCTAGGTCCCTGTGTAACCCTAGCTTTCTACAAACTTTCACTGACTAGGGACCCATTGCCTGGGCCAGCAGAACCCAGGCAGCAAATCAAGCATAGCAAGTGCATGCTGCTTCACTCCCATGTTATATCTGTGCTAGGAGACTGAAAGCAGAGAGGCGCCCCAGACCTTCAGCAGTTAGGCTATAGTTAGGTTTTGAACTCAAAGCTCTGATGCTCCTACTTTCCATAGTCCTTGATCAAATCACTTAACCCTTTTTATATTGGTCCCCAATGTGTTTGTGATGAATTTAATTGCATCCTGAATGAGCTTGTTTGGAGGTCCTGTTTGTAAAGTCCAATCTCTATGCATTACAGTGCAAACCCAGCTCCTTCCACCTTGTTAATGATGTGAACTGGTAGACAGCATCAGCTGGCCTTAGTAGTGTGCTTTCCAAAGGTTCCTCTGTCAGAACAGCAGCCAATATTTTCCTCCTATTTAGCCTTCTGTTGGTGTCACTACTTAGCACTGCCCTGTTGCCTCCTGCCCCATGTCAGAGAGCAGCAAGGACAAGCTGCTCCCTAAGGGAAGGGGAGCTGGGAGGTGAGCATGATAACAAAGCAGGCAGGGGCAGGGGCAGGGACTTCACCAATAAGGGTCCAGTCTCAAGCAAGGCAGGCCCAGTGATGGTAGCCAGGTTCAGCCAAGAGTCCAGATCACCAGGCAAGTACAGAGTGATGAAGCAGGTCCGAGGTCAAGCCAGGAAGTCAGTCCATGGGTCAGAATCTGGATCAATGGGGTACATGGCCAGTCACAGGCATGGTTGTGACACAGCTGAAACTGTAGCTCAGGCAAGGCTCAGGGTGAGAGCCTGAGCTACAGCTCCCAAGGGAAGGAGGGGCAGGCCCTTGCCTCTAGCTTTCTTCACAAGCGCTCTTATCAGGGAAGGAGCTGACCTTGGACTTAGCCAACTAAACCCCTAGAAGGAGGGGAATGGGCTCAGGTGTCTGACACCCTGCTGGGATGAGGAGCTTGATACAAAAGGCTCACTAAGTGCTTCCTTTCACTGACAGCAAACCAGCAGTCTTGAGCTTTGCTTTTAAGAGAAGGGTGTATCCTGTCCCATTTGTGCCTGGGGCTTCTGTACATGGCACTGGGGCTATTGCATGAAGAACAGGTCCTCCTGAGGGCAGAGCGCAGCACATGTCCGTGTCTGTGAGGTGCTTTGTAAAAGGCAATTCAGTGATCGGAGGGTGGGGGGACAACCACTCCTTCACTCATGCCTCTCTCAGGTCATAATCTCAAGGTGCTCAGGGCTGCTGCTGTTCTTATCACCTCAGAGCCTAGACATGGCTGGTCTGTGTGCTTGGTGCTGTACAGTGGAGAGCCCCTGCTCTAAAGAGCTCACAAAGGAGGAGAGGCAGCAGGGAAGGGAGTGCAGAGAAACAGTCAGACAACACTGGTTGATTGTCTGGTCCTACTGGCTGCACTGCTGCCAATTCTCATCCTTCTGTCACACTTCTTGTGATATTTTGGCTTTATAAAGTAGGCACATGCTGTTCATTAAGGTGCCAGCCAGTGGGATACACTGGTTCCCTGAGTATCAATTTTCTCTTACAAAAAAGTGAACTTTTAGTCTTCGCAGTCACAGAGGAAGGGCTGAAAAGCTCAACACCAAATGAGAAAGACCCAGTTTTGAAAAATGAGTCACATGCTTTCAAGACACATTGTCAGGCCTCCTCCTCCTTAATGAACATGCAGGACATGTGACAGAGCCATATAGTACAGGCCTCAGACAACAGTTTTGGTGTGGTCAGAAAGCAGGGTCATGGTCAGAGTCATGGTGCTGCTGTGGGAAGGGAAGCATGGGGCGGGGCACATGCTCAAGGGCTGCTTTAGGCCTCAGGCTGCTTTCCAGGCCTTGCTGATGGCACCAGAAGTTTCTGTGTCCAAGCAGTGCTGGTCAGGCTCTTTATGAAGGCTGCAGGAATGTCCCTGTGCTGAAAGCTGGGTGCCACTAGTGGTGGCACCACCACTATTTAGATTGATAGTGGATGGCAGAGTTGGATGGAAGTGCACATGCATGTTGGCTCATGCAGTCCTGTACACTGATTGCTTTGCTTTCAATTGCAGCCTCCACAGGGTCTGTGACCCAGGTGTCCTCAGTGAGCATCGACTCTGCAGGCTCCTCCTACTCCATCAGTGGAATTCTGGGAATTACACCCCCTGGCACTGAGAGCAACAAACGCAAGCGAGATGAAGGTAAACAAAGTTGTTCTGCCTTGTGGGAGACAGGGCAACACATGCTGAAAAGGGGCTGGAAAGGGCTGAAAGATATCCTCTGTTCTGGTGTGTTCTTTGTTCTAGTATTGCCTGGCCTATGAGGTTGGTTCTGACAGAGTAGCATGATTTGCACATGTGATGTGACAGTTCATGCCTGAGCAGACTGGCATCTTTGTCTATCCAGTTGTGAATGTGTGGCTACTAGAGCCAATGTAGCTACTGGGCTTATAGTAACACAAAGGAGCTATTGATGCTCTTGACAGGCCCTTTCATCACCATCAGCTGCAATGGAGTTTCTTCCTATTCCAGCAGGCATTTGACAAGGTCACAATCCAGCCCATGGAGCCTGGCCTTGTTTCACTTAACTCAGTGGTCCCATCATTTTGGAGGGAAACAAGATCTCTCCTAGTAACAGGTGCTTGCATTAATATTAAAAAACACTTGGAATGTAATACAATTCTTAATAAACCAGCCCCTCCCCCTGAAATGAGAAACATTTCCCTTCCATCAGTGAAAAGGAGAAGAATAATTATTACCATGACTTTATAGCCACGTGAAATAATAAAATTAAAGAGGGATGTCATAATTTGCAGAAAGACAGAGATTTACGACAGTGACGTCTGTGATGCTGCATTTCAGTAGGTCCCACTAGCATCCAGGGGACTTTTGTTGGGGCAGACTGCAGTGAAAACAAGTGGATTTTGCTTCGGACTGAACAGTCCCTGCATTCCTTGCATTTCTTGTAGGGTTAATAGTTCTGTTTCATCTTGTGTCTTGAGCATTGCTCTGATGAAAACACTGTCTTGGAAAGAAGGGCCTTGAAGGTAATATGAGAGGGAAAAGAGGAGAATTTATATCTTGGTATTTTGTTTCTTAAGGCATTTTTATGTATTATTTATTTATTTTAAAGGCATTTTATTTTAAACACCTTAAGTCTAAACCAACCCTTTATTTAAAGAGGAAATAAGTACCTAAATACAGGAGTTGAGAGGTAGGCTGTATCAGCTGCAGGACTTTCTCACTCACCCTGTCTGTTGTGATAGAAGGGATGCAAGAGTTTTAACCCTGCTCAAGGTTTAGGTGTAATCCTACAGTCCCTCATGCATGGCAGTCACTTTCATGGGACATCACTGTCTGGACAGGGGCAACACTTGTGGGTTTGAGTGGTTTTTTTTGTTTTTTCTCTTTTCTGATTTGTTGCTGTGACCGCAAGGCGGGCAAGAGAGGGTCGGGTGCCGGCGTAGAGAGACGCTCAAGGTTCCGGAGGGGTTAAACCGGGTAGATTTAATAGAGGACTTACGCGCCAAGCTGCGCGGGGAGCCCCGGGAACCGCGCGGAGGGGTCGCTGATGGGAGGCTGCTGGACACCCGGGGCGGGTGTCCAGGTGGGACTCCTCCTGCATATCCCAAGGGCTCCCTTTTATCTACTGGAACTATTTCCTTATCTCAGCTGTGCTAACAGTGAGAAACTACTGTCCGAGAAGCAGCTGGACATTGTTGACAAAACGGAATATGCATGTCTGGCCCTGATGGGAATCTGGTCAGTGTGTAGTTTGACACTTTGGGGCTGCTATCACATACTCTGCCAGTCACTGGCTCCTCACCAGATCTTCCGCAGGCGTGCTCACTACAGTTGCCAACCTGCCTCTGAAAGGATCCTCCTGCTTTTTGCTCTTGTGCACCTCTGGTCACTTATTCCAACCCATTGTGCAGATGTGACCATTGGTGCTCCAGGTGTGGAAGATGCTCTATCAGCCGCATGCATGCAGAGATCCCATGTGTGCTCCTGAGGAGAGGCAGAGACCTCCACTCTAAGGAGAGAAATGGCTCCTGAGGGTTGTAGAACCTCAGTCAAGGAGCAGAAAAGGCATTGTTTTCCCTGTGGCCTGGATCCCACTGGTTGGCCTTGATTGGTAATACTCCTGTCCAGTTTTTCTCTCTGTTTGGAAGAACATGATGAAAATGAGACTGACTTTTCAAAATTCAGGAATGCCAGTGTGAGTCTAGACAAGTTATTCTGCAGTCATCACAGTTATTGAGGTCTAGAAAGCCAGGAATTCCTGTAGACTTCTGTCCTTTGTCCCTATAGCTGTTCCTCCCCCTCCTCTTCCCCTCTTCCCCAAAATCCCAGTTACCATGTCCCACAGCCCTTATGAAGTCAGGCCCCTTTAACTTCACAGTACCTCTAGTGCCCTGTACCCTCCCACAGTCCCTTCAGCTTCCTCTCATGTCTCCTGATTACTGTCTGGGAGGGAGGCAGCCTCCATGCTGCATGTGTGCTGACTGGCCTGGTGGCATTCATGTGCTGGTGGGCAGCCAGCTGGCCAAACAGAACAGGGAGCTTTATGTTCATACCATAGCCTTTTCTGCAGTGGTAGTACTACACTGGATCTTTTTTATCAGCCAGACCACCAGTTTTCATGAAACTTGTAGGAACTTGATGTTTTTGAGAGTTCTAATCCTTTGTCAAATGTGGGTGAAATTAGCTGAAGTGTTTCAAAGTCATTAGGAAGGCAAGTAGAACAGGGTGGGCAGACAAACACACAGATAGCTAGATGGAGGGATAGACAGACAGATGGACAGACAACTTTGCAGCATAAGCCTAACTTCTCAGGAAACCAGGCTAAAAATGAGCAAGGAGAATGACTCCTGGGCTCTGCAGACAGAAGTCAGGTACTGTTACATGCATTGGTGCAGATGCTCAGTTAGATTCATAGAGTAATTCCTGGTTTATTGAACTCAGTGGCAAAACTGCTGAGAGCTTTGTGGTGTTGATTTCAGTCATATAGGAAGTGATTAGGTGAGATTATAAAACTCTAAGTTCATGTTTGCTGAATGTGTGTTAATTAAATGTGCAATTGCACATCTGGTTTTTTTTCAATCAAGGCCATAAATATACACATAAATAAAGCATGTACAGTAAAAATAGTTAATCAGGCATAGCAGGAGAGAGGCAGTCTGTGTTGCAAATTTCATGACTTTATCACAGTACTGCCCTAAAGCCCCAGTTCTCAGACATGTGATTACAGAAGACTCTCTGATTTAAAAAAGAAAGAACAAGAAGCTCTCACAATTGTAGAGAAAAGATTTAAATGTTTCCTTGTAAAGCTCAAAAACAAAGGTGAGAAACTCCACAGTCTTCACCAATTCATTATTACAAGAAATCATGGTTTATAAACCACCCTCATCATTTTGGCAGTATGAGTCATGATTTCTGATCTCATAAGATGGACAGTTCTGCTGTCTTCAGCAAAACACTTAAACTGCTCAGAGCTACAAATTTGGAGAGGTATGTGAGGGACAGCATTTGGTAAGTGCCTAACCAGATAATTCAACACAGCATAACGTCTTCGTCTTGTTTGAGGGGCGTTCCAGAGAGACTCTACAACCCCTCCTCATCCTACTTGGCAGAAGTTATCTCTGCACAGCTAGGCACAAAGTGCACACAGAGGAGTCCCAAGACTCTGCACTTCAGATGATGGGGAAGATGGATCATATTCTAGCCTATAACATAAAGAAGGGAAGCATGTAATCTTTTACTTATGGACAATAATGTAGTACTTATGGACAATAATGTAGATGCACAAAAGTTAACCAAAAGTTAACTTTACCATTCCCTGACTTCTGAGAACTTGACAGTATTGCCTTAGCATTCACTTTACGTAATTTCCTTTACCATGTTTCTATCTTTGTCAATAGCTGTTGAGAGATGCATGCCTGTCTCTGTAACTTTATATATGGACTATGTAACAGTTGTCCAGTGATCCTGGCTTCCCTGGGCTGGGAAGTGAAATAGAATGGACTATCCTTTTAATGCTTCTATCTGCACTGAGTACTCAGTGTGATTCAGTTTCCAGTTTTGTTCCCCTCACTCTTGACATTTTTTAGCACACACAGGTCCAAGCCCGCAAGCTCGCATAGGTAATGATATATATTAAAAAGTGGTGGAAAATGCATAAAGAATCAGAAATCAAACTCTCGGGAGTCCAGGTGGCCAGTTGTACAGCAGAGACATATACAAGTCCAAGAAGAGATTAAAGAGAAAGAACCTCCACACACACCCTGAACCCCAGGGAGGAGTTAGAATTTACTTAAATAATTTCTAGGCCCACTTCAGCAAATGTTTACTCACATGAGTTGTCTTTACTCTTGGGAATAATTCCAGCGACTATAATGAGATGAAACCTTTGAGGAGAATAAGGTTTTGCAGGGTCAGCAGGTACTGATTTAAATTTATCCTGCTGATTCAAATTATCCTTTTTATTCAGGAATTCTTTCCCAATGTTGCAAAGAACAGTGAGCTGTTTGTTCAATCATTTTATTAGCTCCCCCAAAGAAATGATTCCCCCCTCCCCACACACATTGAAATAGTCCTTTTAAACATGGTTTGATATGGACTTTACTATCTACATTGCAGTGATGACTACAGTGACTCCATGCTGTATCCAATGCAATCTATTGCTTGCTGGAATGTTAGGGTTTTTTTATTTTTTATTTAATTGAAATCATGCAAGCTAAATTTCTGGAACAAGGTATTCCTCTGTCTGTGATTGCCTTTATAGGCTCGATGTTCCACTCTGTTACATCATTCTTATATTGGTTTAACTCCAGGGCCACTGGTAGAATTACACTCATGTCCACTGGGTGGAGAAGGAACCTTATTTTCCCCATGACTTGGGATGGTTATGCAAGAATGTTTGCAACACCATTTTAGGAAGAAAATTGACCAAAAAGTTTTGATGTAAAATATAGAAAATACTTTTTATTCTCCACTGAGCTGATTTGGTAGGATGGAGGGATTTGGTTGGACATATTTTATGTCTCTTAATTACTCATGTGAAATGACCTAGCTCCCTAGAGGCAAAGGATAGTACTTTCAATAGACCCAGGGATATTTGTACCCAAGGCTTCCTTGAGTCCTGTCCTTACACAGGCTGTCCTTACACTGATTTCCAGGGGTGCTAAAGACTCCAGTGCTCTCCTGAGGTCAGTAACAACATGGCTCAAAGTAGCCACACACATGCCTTGCTAGAGTTTCTACTGGGCCTATCTCTGGTCAAGCGAGGGGATATGTTTTTCTAGGGATGGATCCAGGGTGGTAT